CAGTGCTGCTTTATGCCTTAAGCACAGCTTCAGTCTTTTTTCAAGCTTCAAGAAAGAGAAAAAAAAAAACACTCCATGCCCTCCAAACAGATCACTGAGTATCCCTAAATGAATCTATTGGCAGCATTCCTTCTAGAGGTGGACCAGGCCCAAAATATGCAAGAGGAGGTTTGACAGTTTGAGGGAGGCAAGACCAGAAAAGTAGTATTGTAATGAAAGATGCAAACCTAGAGCACATTCACTAATACCATTCTTAGTAACTCTCCAGAAGTCTGACACCTGACTCTGATGACCTAAGGCTCTGTCCATACTAAATACAGCTTATTCCATGGGGAGTGGGGTGGAAATAGCTACAAAAGCAACCAACTCAACATCAGCACTTCCTAAGTTCTACTCAATATTCTTTTAGGGGATAAACAAAAAAAAAGGCTTTGATGTCAATATCTTCCTGAAAAATCACATTGAAAAAATGCCAGGGCAAACCAAACAGTTATTCCGTACTTCCAGCACAAATCAAGCAACAAAGCCTTCAGCTATTGTTACACACCTCCGGGTACATACTCTTCACATCTCCTTCAAAGGAAACTTTTTCTTCACTCTTCCACATGGAAAGTGAAACACAAGTTACACATGCTGGATCAATAATCCCTTTCTTCTCCTCAGCATTAAAGCCTCAAATTCCACTCTAGATCATATCATGACAAGTCTAGCTCTGCCAAGACAAACCAGACCTAAGGAAGTATCTAGTCAAACATCACGAATGTGTATTATACCAAGTCTGTTCCTTTTAAAGATCATTACATCTTATGGTTTTCTGATAGCATTCCTTTTCTGGTAGAGGTCACCAACTTTATGAAACAGTCAGGTTCCTCTTCTACGTAGAATACGCAAAGCATTACACTGGAGGTGAACATTACCTTTCAGACAAAGAAAATGGGAAAATAAAATTAAGAGAACAACCCAGAAGAGGTCACCCTGACTACACTTCAGAGACTATCTACCTTCAGAAAGCAAACTCAAAACATGGAAGTCACCACAGCGCACCACAAGCACTAGCAGAGGTCCTGAAAAGACATTCCTTTGTTCTGTTGGTGGGTTTCTCCTTAGACTGCTTCAATGCCACATTTGATTCCAGGCCCTGATCTTACCTCCCATTTCTCTGCTACAAATTGCTTCCACCCTTAAGCAGTGTCGGGGTTTTTTCTTAAGTAAAGAGTAAAAACCAGCTTCTACTCCCAAAGGTTAAAGCATTCCTCCCTCCCCACACAGCTAAAAGTTTTGTCCCTCCTTTAAACCAAAGCATTACACCGTGTGAAGCAATAAAAGGGTCTCTCCCAGCACTTAACTCACACTGTTAAATGGAAGGCAAAAAAGCTAAATAGGAAGCCAGAATCCAGTAGCTCCAGGTTCCTTACCTCTTACCAACTGAATTTGCAAATCCAGGGTGTGGGAAAAAGACAAATCAGTAGAGTTAAAGACCGCTAGTGCCATCTGGAGGCCACACAGAACAGCCCACCGTGAGTTTTCCATCAACCTCTGCTCACGCTTGAGTGTTGTCCTCCAAAGACAGCTTGCCAGCACTTGCTGCACAAACTTACCAACTCCACAGCCATAGAAGTGAAAAGTTTAAGAGTAATTAAAGATACTGGTTGCAATAAATTTATACCTATCATGTGAAAGCATTCAACTACAAGTCTTCAGCCATAGCTGACACTACAGCTGAAATTGCTCAGTGGACAGTTGAACTTCAGTAACAGAGCTAGAGTTACCCTCCAGACTCAGAACTGTCCTTGGACCAGAGATAACATCTCATTATTCCCCCTACACCAGCCCCACAGCTGTACTGGTACAGCTGACTGTATCGCAGAGCAGCATTAAGATACCTAGTGCCACAGTTAGTCTATATACTAGCTACCTCTCACAGAGAGCTGTAAGGTGGGATGCAGTTTGAAGGAAAGGATAACTACCATTAGTAATACTGTGGTGTCCTGTACATATATGTTCCATTGATCATGTATGTGGACACCATGCACTCTAGGTTTGATTATAGTTTAAACAAATGGAATCTAAACACAGGACTTTAGAACACTAAAAAGTGATTTGCAAGTATTACTGCCACGTGGGATCTTACCAAGATGGAGAGTCCAGAATTGTTGAGACTGATGCTTCTAGATGGATACCCAGAAAGAAAACTTAAGTTATTTGCTCAGGGTTGACTACAACACTGTTTCAAGCTCTAGAGGTGAATATCCTAAATGCCAAAAGAACAAAGAAATTCAGCCAGCCAGAATCCAGGTTATCAAGTAGGAACACTGGCTCACAAACTCAAAGAAATCAGATCATTCTTTCAAGAGACCTTTTACCTAGCATAGCCCAGGTGATCTACAGTCTTGCTACCAGTAGTCCAGGAGTACCTACTATCTTCCAGGAAGGTATTTCCAGGCACATGAAGGATAAAACAATTATTGGGAACAGCAAGCACAAATTTTCCAAGAGCGAATCACATCTGAGGCCTCCTGATTGCCTTCTAGGATGACATGAATGGTTCTGGGGACAAAGGGAGAGCAATGGATGGCATGGCTCAAGACCTGAGCACTCAAACAGCCCCTGTAAAGCTAGAGGAATGGGCTAACAGAACCCTCATGAACTTTAGCAAAAGCAAATGCAAAAGTCTTGCACCTGGGAGGAATAGCCCTGTTCAACAGTACAGGCTGGGTGGATAGAAAGCAGCTCTGCAGAACAGACAAACAGTCCTGGTGGACAACAAGCTGAACATGAATTAGCAGTTTGCCTTTGCAACCATGAAGGCTAACTACATGCTGGACTGTATCAACAAAAGTGTAGCCAGTAGGCCGAGGGAACTGATTAGTACCTCTTACTTGTGACTGCTTAGCAAGTACTGGACACACACCTGGAACGCCATGTCCAGTTAGGAGCCCCCCAGTACAAGTAGAAGTATTGACTAAGTGGTGCAAGTCTGGCAGAGAGCTATTAAAATGGGCTGAAAAACATGATGTACAAGGAGAAGCTGAGGAGAAAAGGATTGTTTAGCCTGCAGATAAGGCTAAGAATAGATCTAACTGCTGTGTTCAACTCCTTAATGTATGGCTATAAAGACAGACAGACTCTTCTCTAAGGTGCATAGCAGAAGGACAAGAGGCAACAGTCAAACTGCAACAAGGGAAATTCTGATTAGATATAAAAAACACACACACATTCACAGTGAGAATGGTCAGACGTCGGACTATGGAATCTCCATTCTTGGAAGATACTCAAAACTTTATGGTATAAGGCCATAGAGCACCTGCCCAAACTTTGAAGAAGGTCTTATCTTGAGAACGAGGTTGAACTAAAAATCTCTAGACTTCCCTTCCCACCTAAATAAATTTGATGATTCTATCTTAAGGGATTCACTAGAACTGTCTGAACAGTATCTTTCAGTCAAAAGAATACACTTGTTTCCTTCCTCATTTCCTTCCCTAGACCTCTGATATGACTAGAATTGTTAAAACAAAAAAAACAAACAAAAAGCATACACATGCCTACATACACTTCCCCCCCTCAAGAAAAACATGTTACTCTACTATCAGAGATAAAAAAGCTATCTATCATGAATTGGCACACTCGTCCCCAAACAGAGTAGAACACTTGTCTCTTACACGGATGGATTTTTGCAGAAGTAAACTCCTTTGTTACAACAAGATCAGCAGAACTACAAATCCTATTCTGGAGGCCTGCTATGCACTGCCCATTTTCAGAACATCCTAGCAATCTACTCATTCACAATCGATGATTTTGTTTCCCTCTTCACTTTCCAATAACATGCAATATTAGCAACCAACAACTTAATTGCTGATTCCCAAGAGAAAAGTCTTGCATGCCAGGCGTGTTTAAGGCTCCTTTTCTACAGTGAATATAGTTGTCAAGTTTTCCACTGACCAAGATGCGCTACCGCTTCCTGCCTCCTTTTAGGGAAACAGTGTGTTCACATTATCTTTGCAGGCAGAGGCACATCACAACACACCTGAAGGGGATCCGTTCATCAATTTAAAGATATTTCTTGTGGGATAATTATTAATACATCCTTTTTGATTCAGTATCTGCATTGGATAAAGGCAAGTTGGACACAGTATCTGCCTAAGTCAGAGCCATGCAGGCTTGAACTCTAGAGAGATTCTTTCTGGGTACACCAGATATGCCTATAAGACAGATTCAGCACTGCTTAAAACTGTTGCAGAAGACAGTCCTGTGGTGCTCTCTTCTCCAACACAACTGCAGTTAAGTTTCTAGTCTGTTGGAAATTCAGAGGGGTGATTATTTCAAATTTATTAGTTACTACAGATGGGTATTTAGCTAAACTTCTGTGATGAAAAGAAACAGGAATTTGATAGGTAAGTGTTCCTCCTGGGAATCTTAAGTATCTTTCATGACTTATGTGCAAAAGGAAACAGACATCTTGCAGGGTAAGAACAGTGAGCTAGTCTAAACCCACTTACTCAATACTGTAGAAAATACAAATACTGACCTAAAATTTAGAAGAGCAGTTGAAAGTATTAAAACAAAGGCCAATACAGCCAACAACAGGTCTCCAACTGCTTTTGTCTTTAGGACTAAACAGAAATTGAGAAAGTTTAGATTCCTTTCACCTTGGAGGATGGAGAAGGGGCACAAAGGCACCAAGAGTCCAAAGAGATTTCAAGAAGAGCCCGACCTTAAGAATGAACATGCCAATGATGGTGTATGTGGCCATTCAACCCTTCAGAGTTGAAAACTTGCTTTATTTATTACGTATGCAATAAAGTCCCTCACTAAAGATCCTATAACCTATATAAAGAAAACTGACGGGATACAGCATGGTGAAGTATCATATATTTAAACTCTGCAGAACTCCCTAACTGGCACTTCCCTCATTCACTATTGCATCAGGAATACAAAGGTGAGCCAAGACATCTCTGAATCATCAAGTGCATGTACACTGAGAAAGAAGAAACCTCCCCTACCTGGCCAATCCTTCCTCGTAGAGATAGATGACAAGTGGATCATAGGATGTAACCAGAACATAGAGGCGTACATCGAATTTGAAATCTGAAATACAGTTGTCAAGAGTCAGTGACCGCAAATATCTTTCAGACACCATATCCAGTTGAGGAATTTCAACACACCCTGAGAGCAATAAACCATTATTTGCTGCTGACATAGGTGCCTGAAGCTTTCCCAGTTGAAAAGCTTCCAGATTTTAAGGAATTTTCTAGATACATTTTTCCAGTACTAGAGGAAGATAGACCACTCAATTATCCAAGTAAATTCCTGCAAAGATTGCAGAGATCCTCAGGTGTGGGGTTGGGGAAAGAGAGAAAAGCAATTCCTAAGCACACTCACCATCTATGAGCAGGGGGTTGCTGATGTAACGAGAAACCAGGATGTTGTCTTCCAGGACAATCTGGTTTGGCTACAGAAGAACAGAGAATCCAATAGTGAAAAAACAGGAGGCTTAAGGAATAAGAAGATGACTAGATCAAACCCACCATTTTTTCCAGCCTTTCCCTCCTAAAGCCACTCTGTACCAACAGCTATGTCTGGGAAGGGAGGAAACAAAAACAAAAGGAGAAAACACCACTATCAGTCACAACATACCTAAGGTAATTAGATCCTAACCAGAAGCCTGGGAATGATTACATTGCCAAAAAACCTGCCCATTGAATCTTCCAGTTAAGTGCTCCTTAGAGTAGAATACAGTTTTAACAGCCACATGGCAATGAAAAAAAACAGGAAAAACACACATCTAAGAAGTGACTGTCCTTCTGTTTGCTTCTCAAGTATTTAACCAAACACACAGAAGAGTGGTTTAAAAGACACTGGAAGGAGCATGTAACTACAGTTGGTGAGGAAGTCACAAGTGAAGAAAATTACTCCTCAACTTGTGATCTTTATAGCTAGATCCTGGGCTGGTATCCAACCTTCTTGCCTACGTGAGTAAATACCTTCTACCGAGGTTCAGTTCACAGCAGGGCCTACTGTACCAGGAAGACACTACACTCATAGCTCAGAACAGAAAGCTGTATCTATGACAAATACAGATTGCAAAGTCACATGATCTGTTGAAAAAGCTTGTACTTTTTGTTGTACACGACCCTCTCTCTTGTAACCAGTTTTAACTACTCATACAAACAGTTTCTTGCAAAATATGTTCTTGCCTTCAGTTTGCAAAAGAGCCAAGAGAACCCCATCATCCTGGCTTTATTCAATTTTGCATGTATTCAGCCACAGCACCAGCACCATGAGCAGGAAGTCTAGGCATATAGAGTGCACATATACAATGTGAGGGAACAAGCTCAACTTCCCTCAGCACATCACACAAAAGTGACAGCCTGTTTTATTATGAATCAGAGAAATTCAAAGGTTTGTTGTTTTGTTGGGTTTTTTTTTAATTGTTGTTTTTAAACACTTTTGTGATGAGATTCTAGAAAACACTCCCTTAACGGCATCAGACTGAAGGAAACTGAAGTCTTTGGGCCAAACTAGCTGAAGTGTTTCTGGAACAGATATTCACAAAGGGAGATTGGTCCCAGAAGGGTCTTCTCCCCAGTTCAGGGCCAACTGCCATATAAGCCTGAGCTCGTTCCTCTCTTTCAAGCAAAGAAAAAAGCTGAGTGCAGCTCTGGAAATACTTACCTCATACACTTGGCGAATTGCTCCCTTATTTTATGGGAAATGATCCAAGTAGGGAACAGATGAGGCAGCATGACCCCTTCAGTGCAGGGGAGGCTAAAGGGGTTTGAGTGAGTGAAAACAAAATGACTCACCAGTCAGTTGTGCTGCTGAGAATATTTATTGGAATCCCCTCACATGTTTGGCTCCTGCCCAGATGTATTTGTTACCTATGACAACCTAACTCCCTGCAAAGCCCAAAAAGGGCAAAAGACACTATAACCAGCACATTGAATTCAAAGAACCATCCCCATTACACCTCAGTAAGGGCACACTGGCATTTAGATAACACAGTTCTAAGATTGATCTTACTGTATCACGTAAAGTTTCATTTTAATTGGTCTTTTCCAGGGGGAAGAGGGAGACAGAGGGACTGTTTGAGAACTGTTTAGATTGCACAAGGAAACAACTAAGGAGAGTTCTGGGAATCCTCCCAAGGCCAGCCTACTGTCAGCCACAAGGAGACAGTGAAGCAGCACAGCTTCCCAAACCGTCTCGGGGAGCATGAACTTGCTCCTAATAAGCTAAGACTTGAAAGTAGGTTGCAAGATAAGCAGAGCATACAAAGAAATAGATTGCTTTTGGTTACGCAGCATATGCCTGGGCAGGCTTTGACAGCTGCTCAGGACTGTTGAACTGCTCACCAATGTATGGTTGAAATCCAGAGCAGGGCCAGTGTCTGGTTAGATGTTTCCACACCCTGTGCCCAGAAGCTGGCACAGTTTTGCAGACAGTGTTACTGAAGAGCAGTCCTTTTGCTGAACACTTACATTGTTTATCAGGTAGACACCTCGACCCCTGGAAGAGGCCACGGGCTTCACTATCCATGGGCCTCTGTCCTTAGAATAGGTATCTGGTTAAAAGAAAACAGCACAAGTCTGAAAGATCTTCCATTTTGCTTATTTACAGAGGAGCAAGAATCAAGAATGTTGCCCACAGTAAAAGGTTTAGAGAACTCCATGAGGAGATCAAAGTCTACTTTTTTGATGTCCTATTTTACCCCTTGGGACTCACTGCAATTATTATGGCCCCTCCTGAAGCCCCTCCTGCTGCTCCAGTAGGTTCATTTCTCTGCACTATGCCTCCTTTTGACACTTCTGTCTTCAGTACTCCCAGATATTAGTCAGGGATATTGTGGAGTTGATCATCAACAACAATGTGCACAAAAAAACCCGTCAATTCTGAAGCCTTAAGCCCACATCAGCTTCTTGGGGACTTACGCAGGCATGGAGTACACAGCAGAGTAGAAGTTACATAATGAAATCATGTGGGCCTTTTCCACTATCTTTCCAGCTTCCTCAACCACTGGCATGATCAACAGGCTGGGATATTAGAAGTAATTCCCTTCCCCCTACCCAGTTATTTTGCTTCAGGTTGGGCATCATCAGCCATGCACTTACTGCAGAAGTCCTGGTACTCTGTTGGCAGGATAAAGGTCTGAGGTAAGATATGGAATGTCTTGAATCCATGGGCCAGCTGCATACGACTGACGTTCTTGTATAGTCTGTCCTTCCGTGTGAGTTCATATGACCTGAAGTCCCAAAACAAGATGCTGTATCTATTTTTTCCCCACATAAAAAAAAACCACATTACAGCAACCCTTCATCCTAGTTACTAAAGCATCTCTAGCCCTGTCAATTGTCTAAACCCTAACCTGCAACTACTCTTCAGTTTTACTGTCTCTGTCCTATGGCCATATTAATATCCATCCTCATCTGTAGCACCTCCTGCAATTCCCAAGACAGACTGAAGCACAGCAAACTGTTATAATGTTGTTTATAAACTTTAGCAGATGACATATGACTATGTCTGTAACTAAGAACTCAAAGCCCCAAATACTTTACTTATACCACCAAATAAGAAAAAAAAATTAAAAATCCAGTATCTGGGCTACAGACAAGCACTTCAAGTCACAAACTATCTCCCCAAAGACCCTTTAGAATGAAGACAGCATGTGGCACAGGCCCAGTGTGTTGGGACTTCATAGAATCATGCATATTCTGTTTTTTTTCAGAGCTATATACATTCAGATTTTTGAAAACCATCACAAAGATGTTCAGCAAAACATGATATCAAGGCCTTACCTAGGGAAATGATTGACTTTCTGAATATCTGTAAGGGATCGCAACAAGTAGGGCTTCAAGTGTGATCCTGTCCACATGAGATTATAATTGCTGCTATTAGGGTGCACCTAGAACGCAACATAAAAACACCACACACATAAAAACATAGAACTAATGAAAAGCACCACCACTTGTCCTACAGACCTTATGTCTATGAGACCAAAGCAAGTCTAGTTTAAGACAACCTCCCCTATCCATCTCTAATATTAGGGCAACCCTAGCCAGACTCCTGTCCTAAGCTACTGTACAGTACTGCTGGGAAATAACCATGTCATACTTTTCTAAAGAAACTTGTGGTTTTGTTCTTTTTATAGACTGTTTAAACCCAACTTGTAAAGCATTTTAGATTTCTTCAGGAAACTTGCGAGACCAGTTCCTGAACTTGGTGTTATTCACAAGAAAATCCACCATACACACACCTCTCTCAAACTGTCATTAGCTGCATATAGGACATTCCTTAGAGCAAGACAAGTGCTAGAAGAGAAACATGAAACACTACTTCAGTGCTTCTGTGAGCTTGAAAAGGCTGAGAGATTAAATCATTTAGATCTTCCCAAGGGTGTGAGATGACACTTTAAAAGCAAGAAGAGAAAAAACACATGACCCAACTTCAGCATCCCTTTTTCCCCAATTTTGCAGCCTTAGGGCTAAAGGGTACTCCTCAGAGAGCAAAACCATGACATATTTCCTGTCTGACTGGCAGAGTATGGAAAAAAAAACCCTCAAGGGGGTCCACAGCAACTTCCTGGTTCTAACCCTGCAGAGCGGAAAAAAGAAAAAAACAAACCAAACCAAAACAAAAACCACAAAACAAAATAAAAAAAAAACCAAAAAACATAATCGTCATCATCACCACCTCCCAGCCCAGCACATAATCAGATCAGAAGTTCATTGCACTCACCTCATGGAATCCATGGGCAGTCAGAATGCTTCGAACCAGACGGCTGTCTGTTCGCACAATCTTATAGGACAAGTGGTAGCGCTCTGTTAAGAAGGGAAGAGACACAATATTAGAGTCTTCACCTAGAAGAATAAACCAAAGTTTCCTATGCTACCAAAGAAGAGAGAAAAGCACCATAGGACTCAGCACAGTACAGCTGCACTTAATCCACAGCAGAGCATCCACACGCTAGCAACATGTAACAGGCAAAGGGTGGTAGGAAGTGCCTGTCCATCTCTTGGGGCATTAACTCCAATGACGGCACTGAACTGACTTACATCAATCCTTACGTATAATATTGCTGCATCACTAAACCCTATCATATCAAAATAAAACTTAGGACATGCTAACAAATGCCCAGATTTTATTTTTTTTTAAACAGCTCTTTATATAGACTGCTTTATAACACTCCAAACATGATTTCAGGTCTTTCTTCTCTATTCAATATCAGTACTCCTAGCTAAAAGTAATCATGCCATATGGCCCTCATTAACATGGCTACCTTATATGATCACTTAGATCTTGAAAACCCAAAATAAACCACTGAATTTCTGTTTGCATCTCATCCACCTGTACTGATCTTCCAGTAAATGACTGCAAAAATAGTAGGAAATAAAGTAAATAGGACAAAGGAAAAAAAAAAAGAAGAAAAAACAAAAAGAGACAATCACTATCCAAGTAGAAAGTCATAAAAACAAAAGCAGTAAGCAGCACTGGAAGTTTAAGATAAACAGAAAGCAAGGAGCAAGACTAGAGGCCATTTGTCATACAAAAGGATGTGGCAATCCATAAAAGAGTTTAAAGACGTAGAGACAGAAATTGCAATGCTAGCATACAGAATCACTTGGAAAAGGCACTTTACAAATTGGTTCAAACTAAGAATAGAAAGATGAAGATTAGATTAAACCTCAGGAAATATGTTCTACCAATAAAAATAAGACTAAAGAAAAGAGTAAGAGGTATCATAATCTGGGACCAGACAAAGCTCAAGGAAATTCAACAAGTTGCACTATTCAGCAGTAGACTTGTTAAACCACGAAAAGCCTCCACCTCCTGAGAAAATGCAGAAGAGGATATCCAGTTAGGATACAATTACCGTCAGCTTCTGCCATCATTCAAGTATGTTTTTAACTCACATGAAAAGGATCAGGAGTTTCCACACACAAATCACCTTCTCTACCCCTTACCCCAATAAGCCAGAAGCATTTCTGCTTGGATAGGATATTAGAAATGAGGGCACCAATTACCTAAGAAAGGGAGAAGCAAGAGAAGAAAGAAGTGTCAGCATCTTCACAAAAAGAAGCCGAGTAGATTTTAGCTTTTCTCCAACTCAGCATATCCAGAACGAGCTCCCAGCCACACACACCCGCAAGTACTCTCGCAATCCAGAGTGACTGTTTATAACAACTCTGCCTCTTATTTAGAGGCTTTCCCTTATTTGACACTAGACAGGTTTGGTCTCCCAACTCACGCACTGCCAGAGCAGCAATCATTTTGCTTATGGCCTTACTCACAGCTGTGAGGCTGTAGACACAGAGATTTGTTACTACAGCTTGCTACTTTTCTTACCACTGTGGGGCTGGCTGCTTTATTTCCCAGTGAAACCCTCTCAAAACTCACTGCAATGATTGATTTTAAGTTCTTAGCTACAGAGCAATGAATTTATATTCTGGTCATAAGTTCCAGCATGATCTCCAAGTTGAATTTGCAAGCAGACAGTTCCAACTCAAAACACATCAGGACCCAATGGAGGGACAAATATAGACACTTGTCACAACCCAAAGATGCGATAAACATTCACCAACCGATCAAGCGTTTCTAAACATCTCAGTACTCAGACACAAGAGAAGATTGCAATTTCCTTCCTACCATGTCCTCTTCCCCACCACAAAGAGAAGGGAACATCCAGGTAAGAGACTTCCACCTCATGCCTTCAGGGCAAAAGCTTGCACATAGTTGCACCCACCTCCAATTAGGCGGAGGTAGCTGTCGTTGGTCAGAATGGCTTCAGCATGAAACACCAAGACAGGGATCCGCCTGCAGCCACCACCGGTCCACTTGATACATGGATGATCCCTGAAATGGCAAGACAGTCAGATAAGCAACTGCTGAGCCTCATACACACAGCAATTCTCCATACTTGTCCATGCTTACCCACCTAGACAGGACACAGGCAAACACACTGTGGGAAAATAACAGAAGACTGGCAAGGAGGATTATAAACATACTCGAGTGACTTGCAGCTGGGGTGTAGAAAAATACATGTATCATTCTAATTGTTGTCTATCCTTATGTGTTTGACAAGTGGAACATCTGTGTTCAGATAACATAGGCCTGTGATAGACTTACAGGCACCCTATCGAACATGCTCGAGACTCCTGCCCTGCTGTGGGAAAGATCAAAGAACAGTGGTGAACTACACCAAGCAAATCCCTGAAGAACAGGCACAAACAGCAGGTTCAGCAATCCTCGAGCAAGGATCGAGCTCCACAGTGCCTGCATCTCTGCTTGCGTGCTGATGCCCCAGGGCTGCTTCAGGAATGCCCTGGTTGGTGAGGTAAGGAAAATAAATTTACTCTTTGCATTTCAGCCATGGTTTTGTGGTTGTTCCTGCTCCCTGCCTGTGCTGACTCACACACACAGGCTAGGCAGCCTTGGTACTCGGCCATAAAGGGAATCTTCCAGATCATCATCTTTTTGATTTGGTCTTGCCAGTCTAAGTCAGAGTTCTGCTTAATTTGTATTTATTTTACTGAGTGTAATTTGGGAGAAACCCCATGAATTTTCACAGCTACAGTTCTCTGTATTTATAGCCTGAAAATGGGATCTATAATTCAGGATAAACTGTAATTGCTGGTATCCACACAACTAGACCTTACAATGCATGTTCCAGCCTCCAATTTAAGAACTGCAAATCAGTGCATACTGCCTCGTCGTAATCCTGGACTCCAAAGTGCACAAAAAGGCACTCATACAAAGTTTGAGAGACTAGAACAGGCTTGGCTCAACACAACAGATGAACTTGTGTGTTCTTCCTTTTTAATTTCTGCCAGATGCAGTGGAATGCAAGCCCAGAATTCAACAACAATGCCCCCAGCCAGCTACTCAAGCAACAGGTTCAGAGATGCAGTGACCAGTTCTGTCCAGAACAACATAACTACATTGGGAACTATCATCTCCTCAGAGGAATTAAGGACACACACACAAAAAAAAATTAAGATCCGTTATATAAAATCCTAAGATCACAGAAGGAAAACCTGCCAACCTCCCTAAGCAAATAAAACCCAGACTACTTATTACTCACTGTGCAAGGAAATGGAACCACAAAAAAGTTAACAGAAAACAGAGACTGAGGGGTTAGAGAGGCACATCTCTACACAAATGAGAAGAAATATAAAGACTGGCAGAGATACACAGAAGCATTTGTCTATAGAATGTCTATAGGCAAGATGATTGTCTGCCAAAGGTTTGGAGAAACTACAGAAGACAAATACCTCCTACACTTACAACACAGTAACAGATATAAAAGGGCACTTTTCTGATGCTAGAACAAGCAAGTACTCTTAAGTGTAGCCTTGGTCCTCTTAACCAACTTATTACCATTATCACCCAGACAAATTAACTTCACAGCACTCCCATCTGCTTCCACCACCTCTAAAGATAAAAAAAAAATTAAAAAAAAGAAAATCAACTACTAGGGTGTAATTAGCTGGAAGGAACCCGAGAAGCTTCCAGAATTTATACTACAGGCCAGAGCCTTATATAAGTGGGAAATGAGCTGAGGCAACAGGAAGGGAGTTTATGTTAAGCCTGTCCTGAGGATTTGCAGTAAGGTTCAATCCTCCAGGTGACAGTCATTCATTCCTAGGATGACCCTTGGTCACTTGGTGCCAACACACTATTACAATTACATTCGAGGTGAAGGCAGTTCTCGACCTTTCCATCCATGATGGTCTGGCAAGTCTGAGCCAACTACTTGGTATGAAGTAACATTCCTCCAAATGCCTTAAAGCCACTGCAGTTTGCAACTGGGCACTCAGTCACAATATGCGCCCAAAAGAAAACAGACAGGACATGTTAAAGTAAGTCCAGCTGAAACAGAAAACGGATTCCGCTCTGGGAAAGAATAAGGGAGCAACTCCTTCACAAGCAAAGATAAAAGAAGTTACTAAAAAAAGATGGAACAAACATACACTAATAAGTAATAAAAACTCTAGAAGTTAAGTTCTTACAAGGCAGTTTTTAGAAAGGACATAAAACATTGCATATCAGTCTACTGTACAGTAGATTTCCATTCTCTGCAGCAAAGTAAAAACTAAAACAAAAAACTAAACGAACAAACAAAAAAGGACATTCATTTCCTTAATCATCATTAAGAAAGTTCCCACCTTAGGAACATGACAGGAAGAGATTAATGAAATTATGGACTTTAGAGTAGCCAATGAAGAGCTGCACCTCCAACCCTGATGAATATGGTGGTCTTTTAGGCTACAAATGTAGGCAGCCTGCCCACAGCCTTGAGGCCCAAACCAACCATCTTCCACTTTATAGGTAGGAGGAGGTAAGGAGTGCAACTGTCTTTTCAGATTACTACAAATACTGCAGGAAGCACAGGGAGATAGAAAGAGTTAAGACAGTTTTTCCTACTTACTCCAGCCCAACATCTTCTTCCTCCTCTTCCTCTGAGGATGAGCCAGTTTCCTCCAGATCTCGAGCCATCCCAACTGGCATTTCCTCTGGGAGTTTTCATACAGCCCAAGTCTCAGCAGCCTCCGAGACTCCTTCCTGCAGATTCAAGGAATCTTGCAAGAGCAGTTACCTGCAATAAGGATTAAAAGCATGAATGCATAGCTGAGGACAGCAAGAGAGATGAAGTAACTTAACTCCCACCTCCTGTCAATATATATTTCTCACAGGACTATCAACAAGCTTGTTACAGGCTGTAAATCACCTCCTAGCCAGGGCAGTGTAGGAAGAAGCATCACCTTCCAGCAGATCATTCCTCACCTGCCCGTGAGAGTCATTCAGGCGCTTACCGCTGAAGCGCGTCCCTGCCCTGCCCTGCCTCGCCTCCGGCCGCGGAACCGCACCAGGCTAGCCAGGCCCGGCCCAGCGGGAAACGCCTGCCTCTCCCCGGCGCCGAGCGTCCCCCGCCGCCCGGGGTCAGCCGGACACTGTAACACCTCCGCCAGCCCGGGAACAGCCCTCCGGCCCGGCGGCGAGCGGAGGGGCCGCTAGGGCCCGGCCTAACCCGCGGCGACCGGGCCCGGCGGCCTGCGGCAGCCCCAGGAGAGGCAAGAGCGGCGGGGAGCGCCAGAGGGGCCGCGACTGCCGCCCCGGGGCCGCCAGCCAACCGCCCCTCAGCCCTCTGCTCCCCATACCTGCTCCCGCATCACCGGAGCGGGCAGAGGCGGGCGGACACAGCGGCCCAGCAGCCGCGGCCCCTCCCGCCGCTTCCCCGTTACTACAACAACCGACGGGCGATGGCCCCGCCCCGTCCCCAATGCGCAGGCGCCCTCCGCCCGCCCCAGTGCGCAGGCGCAACGGTCCGGCCGCTCGCCCGGTCTTTTCTCCGCCCGCCGCCGCCCCTCCCGCCTCCACCTGCATGGTGGGCGGGGCCAAGGGGGGCGGGACCGCCTCCCAGGCGGTGAGGGATTCGATTGGCGGTGGAGGCCCACACGTCAGCGTGGCGTGTGGATGGAGCGGCACGCTCGCGGCCAATCGGAGTATGGGAGCAGGAGGGGGCCGGGCGCGGGAGGGGCGCCGGTGAGAGGGCGCGACGCCGGGTGGTGCGCGCGGCCCGGTCCTTGCGGGCAGGTTTCGCGCCGGCCGGGAGGATGAGCCGGTTCCTGAACGTGCTGCGCAGCTGGCTGGTGATGGTGTCGGTCATCGCCGCCGGGAACACCCTGCAGAGCTTCCGCGACCACAGCTTCCTCTCGGAGAAGCTGTACACCGCCAGCCCCGGCCTCGGTAAGGGCTGCGCCGGCCGCCCCGAGGCCTGGAGGTGGCCTTCCAGCCGTTGGCCTTGGGGCCTCCTCGGGCCCGCGCCTCAGCGGCGGCTCTCGGGCCCAGGAGCCGCCCGCTGCCCCGGCGTGCACCTCCCCGGCGGGGATGGGGGGGTGGCAAGCGGGGCTGTGCGTGGTCTCCATGTGCTCCCCCCTTCTTTGCGCAGTGAACGGGCTCCAGGCTCGGACCTTTGGCGTCTGGACCCTGCTGTCATCAGTGATCCGCTGTCTCTGCGCCATCGACATCCGCAATAGGACGTACGTAAAGAAGCACCGGACAAATCCTTCGGTTTGCTTGCTAGTCACAACCTGAGCTTAGAGGGCAGCGCGGAGGAGGTGGGGAGTCAAAAGCCGTTTCTGAGCTTTCTATAGGGTTGAAAGCGTTCTCCCGAAAAAGCTTAAATAGCAGTGTGAAATTTGTGTGTTAACTGCTGCTCCCTCTCCCTTCTGCCTCTGTGGGGAGAGCCTGCGCATTTGAGTTCTGTTTCTTAGCTCAGGCAGAAATTCGTAGATCTGAGAACTTCTCATGTCACAGATTTCTGAGCTCCAGCTTGGAAAGCATCTTCTGATGGCATTGCTGCTCTGTTGACATTAAGCAATTGCTAATGCTGTGGTCCGACTGATCCTCGGTACTTTGCCTGTGGCAGCTCAGCTAAAGACTGTGGCAGGTTGAGCGGCCCCTTGCAGTTGTCTTAACCTGCTGCCTTCTTCCATACACTCTTACCTGGGGCAGAGGACAAGGCCTGAGGTGCATCCTGATGCTGTGGTGGGAGGCAGGCCGTTTCTCCCTGTGGTAACAGAATTATTTCTGAGAGGGATTTCCAAGCAGGCTGACTGGCTCTGTGCTAGACAAAGCCTGCATTGGAGGTTGCTAGAACTCACTCTTTTGTCACCACCTCCCCCAGCCCCGCAGCAGAAGTCACTGTTCACCTGGTAGCATGTCCTTGGATTGCCTAGGCTTATCTGTAGTAGGGAGGTACAGGGACTCAATTATCTGGTTTTAAGGGGTGGCGGCAGTGCTAATTACCATGAAGCCAGTTTTTTCTTAGAAGGAATTTTATCTTGCATCTCTTGGACCTGCTCACTTTCCACAGCTGTGGCCTCTAGAGGGTAGCAGAGCACAGGTGGGAAGATGTGTCAGGTGATGTAGCCTGGAATCACCTAAGTCCTGTCGCCCTAGTTCTTGGCTCATCCAGTTCTCACCCTCTTTTTGTGTGTGTACATGCTTCTCACTTCACCGGTGCCTTACCCCTGCTCTCCCCTTTTTACCTGCCTTCAGGCCAGATAATGCCCTTGACTTTCAATGCGTCATTGAACAGTGCCCCGTCCTCCTCTCAGCTGTTGCCCAGAGAGCTTTTGCATGTCACTAGGCAAGGGACCAAGTGCCCTCTGTGCTGCCAGAGTGAGGACAGACAGGGCAGCATGCAGCTTTGCCTCTTCTATTCAGCCATGCTTGTGCCCATACTATGGCCTATATGATAACCTGCTTCTTTCTGCTCTCCAACAGCCTCTATTACATCACGCTCTTCACCTTCTTTTTGGCCCTTGTTCACTTCCTCTCCGAGGTCTTCATTTACCACACTGCAGCCTTGACAATTGGAGTTATGGCACCCCTCATGGTAGCAAGTAAGTAGAGCTCTGCATCCTCCCCCCACAAACTCTCCTTGGAGGTATGACCCCCCAGAAAAACTCCCCATGGGGCTATGAGCTAAGGGCAGGGAGAGGACGGTGGGAGGGAATGTCTCATCTCCTGTACAGCATTTGCTACACAACTCATCCTGTATCGCCATCACAGGCTTCTCCATCTTGGGAATGTTGATTGGGCTGCAGTACCTAGAGGTAGAAGCACTGTCGCAAAACAAGAAGAAAAACTGAAGCTGAGGGCCCTGTGTAGGTCAGTGGTGTCTCCTATCTTCACTGCCAAACTTCCACGAAAGCTCAGCTGAACTTCTCCAGGACACTAGCCCTACTGGTGGATCAATGTTGGACTCAGAATCATTCTTCACTACCAAGTGTTTTTTCTTGTCCAGGCAACATTTCAACTGACTGATGTCCAAGACCAAGTCCCAGAGGAATTTGTGTCAAAGCTTGCAGGGGGCAGTTGGTGATTGCCTCCCTGGAGCATAGCAGACAATGTCCCAGGTGTGCCCACTGCACTAAGGACTTCTCTCCCAGTGTACCTGTGGGGAGGAGGTGTAGAGCTACCCAGGATCCACTAAACACTTTGGACCAGAAAGACAGAACATGTGCTGCCCCTGGCACTGCTGTGTAACTTGCATGCATGTGTTCCTCAGGGGCCATTTCTAATAAATGACAGAAAACTGCATGGTGCTATGTCTGTCTTTCTGCTACACAGCAGCAGGTAGAGGATGTACAACCTCAGAGCAAACAGCAGGTTCTACTGTATGTTGCAGGATAAATCATCTCTCTTTACAGCAAACCCACCTTTCCCTGACTCCTTCCCACAAAGTTCTGGGTCTGACTGCTCACATCACACACACACACGCACAAAGAGAGTTGTTTCAGTTCTTGCTTCCACAGCATACTGGTGACAGCAAGCTGCATGCATCTGTGAGCAAGGAGTGAGCTACCTTTGCCGTGAGCTATAACTACAGAAGATGGAGAAAACAGGAACAGGTTGCTTAGATCTAGATGAAATAATGCCCAAAGCAGATGGGCAGTGCACAGAAGGCACGAAGCAACCAGCAGAATCTCCTAGCTGGGAAGACAGTATATGTGCAGAAGAAAGGGAGGAAAAACACAGAAGGGAAAAAAAGAGCACAACAGTAGCACTGGGCAGAAAGATGATTTTTCCATTCTGCAAAACATTTCAGGCTGTTAAAAGAGCCAGATGTAGACTGTTTCAACCATTTCATATGAATGTGTCAGGTTTCATTTTACACTTCAAATGTTTTTATTTTATACAAAAACTTCTACTGAGGATGGGGATCTAAAATGGCTTTTCAATCCCAAACTATTAAAGATAGGACTTCAGTTTTTTAATGTGTCAAAATACTGTATAATTTCACCCAAAAAAATGTTTTGTCAAAAATGGTATGTTAGAGAGGGCTATTTTTATCCATTCCACCTGGTTGTGGTTTTTTTCCCCCCCCCCCCCCAAATGATACATGCATAACTGCATGATCTAAGGAGTATAAGGACACTTGATGTCTCCACCAGTGGAGGGATGCTAGAAAGGAAGGAGAAGGGATATAAGGATCTACATTTGCATTTAGAAGATAAGCAGCAGCATACAGAGGGGCAATGTCTATAAGACACAAATGCTATTAAGAGGGATTCTTCTCCTGTTCTCTATTATAAAGTGGGAAGCTTCCACACTGGAGCAAATCTGGATTCCCATCATACTCTCGCTGTGGCTGTGAAGAACAACGCAGCCTTGGCTGGTTATCTTAATATAACACCTTACAAAAAAAAAAATTTGTAGTGTTGAAACATGCAAAAGGCACTTTATAATCATTAAGGAGGAAGACACAGTCCTCAGCCCAAGGAGCTTGTGGTTTGACTCCTGTTGCTAGTGTAGTGATGAGCTGGGCTTAGCCTGTAGCTTCAACATAAGCTGCAGAACTAGTCCTTGCCCCCAGGTAGAAGGAGGCATATTGGTATCTCTCATTTACTCCTAGTATATAGGAACATGAGGGCAACCTCATTGAATTTTGAGCAGAGGTTTATCCACAGACTGAGTGCTTCATCTGGGACAGCCACATAATAAAACCAGAGCTGGCGGTGACAGATGCACTGCTTTGCATTTGCTGGTGATATGCTGGGGCCCCTACCATCACCTGTACAACACAGAGCATCACAGGCTGAGGGCCACCTGAAAGCTCTTCCAGGGCTGCTCACAGAGTAAGTGTGGTCCAGCTTCTGCATTTCATGTCACACCTTGTCTGTAAGAGAAGACACAGCCACATGCAGGGTGCCACCCTCATGTGCTCAGGGCTAGCCTGGAACTATGGCTTTTCTCAGCACGTGTGCTTTTTCTTTTCCAAGCATACATGGTGGGATGGGGGAGAAGCAGTGGGTTTTCCCAACTTTTCCTCCCAAGCAGCGAAGTCTCCAAAACAGCAAGATGCAGAGGTACAACTGAAGAGAGCAACTCCTTGTTTTCCTATTTCACACTCTCCACAAGCAGTTCACTGGGCTCCTGTCCTGAGGCTGCCCCCCCTGCCATGGTGTGCATGTTACAGGAGGATGATGTAGGTAGCAAAGATGGGAATGAGGGGGGCTGCATCTCCCAGCTCTGCCAGCCCTCCATTTCACAGCTTTGATTCCACAGCTATGGGATCGGTGCAGGCTTCTGGCATTGCTTTCTGCAAGTCAGACAGAGAAAAACAATATGGTTAGGTTCCTGGGTGGCTAGACCCATGCTTCAGAGAGACCAGCTGGCCAGAGGCTGGCTAATTCGCAGCTCCCTGCTAGTATGCAGAAATGCCCAAAGAAGAATC